ATCAGATGATGAAGTCTTTGGCTTTTCCTTAATTTCTGCTTTCCAGCATTGTTTTTCGAATAAACTACGCGGACTTGTCTTTCTTTTTCTTCTTCTAAGGTGCTTATTTTTACATGAATAGTTGGCAGAGCGTAAAAGGAAAACGGAACCTTTTGCTTGGATTAAGATAGTTGCTCGCGGATGAGTCGGGATAATGGGGTTTAGATATATCATACCCTCCCAATAAAAACCCGTGTTTAAGGTGCATAATGTTTTTACATAAACCTGTGTTTCAGGTGCATAAGAGTTTAACATGATTTATTGCCACCTAGAGTGCTTTGAGAATTAAATAGTTTTTATCACGCAGATCTAATACTTTCAATTACCACCCTACTTGTTTTAATTTTTAAGGTATCATGGTCATTCGATCTTTACTGGTTTATCCACATGTTCCGTGATATCTAGGCACTTTTTCTTGTACAATGTTGTTACCATGCAATTCTGCCATTTAAAAGATTTACTGTTGATTTTAATTTTAAGCATCAAATAGTGTTCTAGCTCAAGTGTATTTTTCCTGTTTGGTGTGTCAGCATTGTGGCATCTTGAAGCTTGATTCCCATGCCTTCTACAAATCTTTCTTATGTAGAGATTGAAATTTTCTACTTGGTAATTGGTTTGCGCTTTACCTTTACCTGATCCCTTTTTGTAATTACTGCTTGTGTCTTTGAGGAACCAAAAAGCTCTTAATGATTCCACCTAAGAACCTAAGAAATTCATTAGATGCAGTAACTGAAAAAAAAGCAATTCCTACCTTTTCATTGGCTTGATGGTTTGGTCGTTCATCAGGATTAGCAAGAGGAGAATAAATGCAATGGCTAAGCCTATATGCTCAAGGTTTATTCATTTGGAAGATTCTCAAGATGTGGCAAATGCTTCAAATGGTATATGCTACACTCTACCATATTGAGAGTTCTATCTTAGCAATCACTTTTTGTTCCTAAGAACCTTGAGGGTTGAAAACTGTTAGCGAAAGCTGCTTTTGTATGATATTAATACCTGTAGTTTTAGGTGCATAATACTTCTATTACCTTCCAAACTTGGTAATGGTACTGTTAATTCTTTGACAAATTATGCAACCAGGTAAAGAAGTCCAAAGTAACTTCTGTGTAAGACACATCTGAAGAACTTGCCCTGTCACTTGAAGAAGCCTAATGTCTAGGATCTAGAAGCTAGCCCAATAAATTCTGAATTTGACACAAGTCCTCTTTGCTTGCACTTGCTCTTCAAAGGAGGAAAGCAACTCATTTATGGTTTCAGAAACATAATGCTGGACATAAAAAGAGACAAACTTAGTGCACGATTCTTTTGTCAATGCAAGGTCTGGGAAGGATCAATTCACATAGCATTACTCAACAAGTAGAGAGACTTCCATGACTCAACCCTGGTCGCCCAGCTCACAAAGGATCAACTTTACAATTGCCCCAAGGCTAACCTTCAAATGTAATGCTATGTAGAAAATATTATTGGCTATTATTTGTCCTTTGCTCTACTTGGTGTCTTTTTGTTGCCTTTCTTCTCAGTATTTCTTTTTTTACATTTTTCATGGAGAAATTGGGATTTGATTGTATTACCCTAGGAACTTTATCTCTTTCAAACATTTTTGATTATATGTATATCCTCCATCACTTGAGAGTTTTAGGTTGGTATTCTCCCATTTTTCCTCTGGTTGATAAACCTTGAGACCCAAGCCTTACCTCCTGCTGTGGATTTGCTATTGTTATTTGTTATAGCTGTACCAGTAAAAAATCTGTTCCTGTATTGTTCTTAAGAAACTTCAAGTAGCATCCACTCTGTTTGGCTATCAAAGTTCAATGGTCCTTTTGAGATTCATATAAAATTTCCAACTTATTCTTTATGCTCTACCAACTTTTTCCTAAATTCATATCTTGATCAGGATGAAGTGGGCTTTAGAGCACCCATGAAAGCCCACGTTCACACCTTAGGAATTGACACCTTAGGAATTGACTTGATAGTTTAGGTGCTCCTATAATTAGTTATATGCTAGCAGCTGAGTATCTGTCAATTAAATCTTTCAGAGCATTTCTTTTTCATATTCAGATTTCAAGATATGCTCATGCCATAAGAGACTGATTCATAAAACATAGTGCATGCATTTGAAAATGGATCATGAATGCTATAATACTGTTTGGATCTTGCATTTTCTTATGATACTCCATATTCGTTCAATTTCTTGCATTTGGTGGCTGTATGAATTGATTGACACAAAATGGTTGCATGATAATGATGTATCCAGGGATCTCTTTGCCATGGTATGCAGTACCGAATGGTACCGCCCGGTACGGGCGGTACGTACCGGTCCGACGGTATATCGGTACGCGGACCTCCCGGTACCGAACGGAACGTGCTGCAGTGCTACAGTATTATATTGTAGCAGTGCTACAGTTCTACAGTAAAGAAGAAAATGTATAAAACAGTTCGATACACCTTGGTGTACCGCTCAGTATGCTGGTACCGTACCATACCGAGCCAACCTTGAAACACCGGTACGGTACGATATTGCATATCTTGCTCTTTGCAGCTGCTTCTGCTGCATCTTAACTGCATGCAAGATATCAAGGTTCCTAACTGAAAAATATATGTTTTAATGTAGCATGCAAAGGAATCTGGATGTGCCTTTAAGTATTTCTAAAATTTCTTAGGTTAAAAATTTAAATATTTGCCAAAGTTTGACTTGTAATATACAGTATGACAGCATTATTTAACAATTGATATGTCTCTCAGTCTACAATGAACAAAGTAGCTTCCTTAAGGCTTAATTTTTTGTACATATTTGAGATTCCAGTGAGTCTAAATTCATTTGAAAGCTATTTTAAAGATTTTTTTTACTCATATTCATGAACGAAATCTCAAAATTGTGTTCAAGTGATCAAAAATTTTGGTTGGATATCAACAACATGAGCAATAAGGTCCCAAATATTTTGTATACCACCACTGTAGTCAAGTTACATTTAGATTTAATACTAGCCTTGTTTTGGCAAATTTAGTGTTTTGAGATGAATTGACAGTCTTAAGTTATGTCTAGTTAGAATCAAGGTCTGCCATACCGAAGCGTACGGCCCGTACTGGTCCGACAGGTTACCGGTATACGGACCGCCCGGTACCGCTACAATGCTACAGTATTGTACTGTAGCACTGCTACAGTGCTATAGTATTATACTGTAGCACTGCTACAGTATGAAAAAGTATAAAATTGTTCGGTACACCAGGGTGTACCACTCGGTACTTCCTGATGTACCGCCCGGTACACCGTTACCGTACCATATCGAGCCCAGGTTGAAATGCCGGTACGGTATGGTACGGCGAACCTTGGTTAGGATAACCTTTTACCTATGAATAATTGGATTTTTTAAGTTGATTAGGATTCAGAAATTGATCTCGTTTGGCATAGTCCTTTATGACTAGAAATCTAGAGTACATTGCTTTTAAGTTATTTAGTGGTCTGCAAAATGAGGACAAATGGGATGTACGTATTTAATTATTTTTTTATTATTTTGTGTATGCTCTTTTTTTTTTATGGAGGATTCTGTTCCTGCCTATTTTCTTGTGTTTGTGTCATTTATTCTGTCTTCATTACCCCTATTTTTGTTCTATATCCCTGAATGCTACTACAACTGCTTCAACTGATCTAGACTTTTTGCTTCTTTAAATATGTCTGTTTTGATTTATATTGTAGGTTTTAAATTTCGCTTCATCTCCTATAACATTCTGGCACAGGTATGATGTAACAGTGGTACTCTAACTGTGCATTGTCGAGCTGTTTTACTTCAATGTTGGAATATACTCTTATTGCTTTGATGATGATGAAACATGTGGCTAAGTGTCCTTTATTAATTTGTTTTGGTTTCGTTGCTTTCCTTGTTTTACTTCATTTGGTGAGTTACCTTATTGTTTGACGATGATGAAGCATGTGGCTATCTGATTAAGTAGCTATTTTAATTTGTTTTTGGTTTGTTGCTTTCCTTTTAATTTTTATCGTACATTTTTGGATCATTGCCCCGTTATCAAGTGCATTGAGTAAGTGTTGATTCTTTTTCATTTTATGTAGTCTTTGTGAAAGAAAAATATCTGATTGATTTTCCCTGAAGTAAAATAATTGAAGGAAGCCAGCAGCAGATGCCTGTACAGACATATACATAAATTAAAATCTGGAAATTTCAAAGGAAGATTTCACTGAAGTTTTCTATTGGCTGCAACATATCGAAAAAATCCATCAAAATATTGATTTCCAGCAGTATTAAGTTAAACATGCATAGTGCAATCAACTTCCTGTATGTTTGTATTATTTGGACTTCATTAGACACTTTAACCTTGAAAGTCTAGTATTTTGTTTTTTGTACATTGTGTTGGTAGAACACCATAAAGGCCGCATTTTTAGTTTTAGTTCCAATCAAGCATTCATATATTATGTGCTAGAAAAATTTTCAAATGAAGTATCAGATTAGAATAGCAGCATAAATAGAGAAAATTGTTTTCTTTGAAAGATTTTTTTTTTAGTTTCCTAATTTTGTATTAAAAAAAGTAGTTTCCAAATTTTAAAAACCTTAATGATCAGGGACTTACGAATGTGATAGGTATGTTGTGAGGATTTAAGAACAATAACATGCTAAAAAAATTGTTAGAATGTGTGACTTGTATCCTTTCATCCTCTTGTATCCCGATTGCCAGCATGAGCTCCTTATTGACTTCTTGTTAGTTGACTACACGAACCTTTATGTCACCATGTTAGAACCCTTGCAGATTCTAAACTTGGGGTTGATCTCTTTAGGGGATCGACCTCCTTGGAACTCTATAGGGGTTCCTCCCTCCAAGTTGCTGCTCAAAGGCTGCAGAAAAGATTCATCTATTGCTTATCAAAAGAGAAGGAATACATGACTATTTATAGGGCTTCTAAACCCTAACTCCTAATAGGACTCCTACTTAAGACTCTTACTTCTAACCAACTCCTAGTAGGACTCATAGTCAAGACTCCTATTCCCTTACAACTCCTAATTCTTCTCTAAGAAAACACCTCCTACAT